TTAGGCGCTGCGGAGATACCTTCAAACAAACAAGATGATGAATGGATAGAATTCATCAAAACATTCGCATTCATAATATTAGTAAGATTGTAGTTAAAACATATGTTTTTTCTAGATACATTTAATATACCAAACCAATAATTTAAGGAATGAAATCCAATAATGAGTCTAGCCAGAGACAAAAAACTAGCATAACTGCATAATGATTATTAAAATTGGAAAAGTCGAGAGAGGCAGACATCGTTAGTGCCATTAAAGTTAAACTTGTCGCCAAGCGTGTGGCTACAGAAGAATACTTGAGTACTGTTCTGCTAACAAATGCGATTCAACATCAAAATTATTTTACAATTTATGTTCAGAAAATTTTGACGTATTCTTACTCTTTAGTAGCCAAGGAGTTTGTTTAACATAAAGGTCGTACTGGCCACTAAGAAAGCACATTAAATGTAAATGAAGAAAGATAGTTGTGAATGGTAAAAATTGCACGAGAATGCCTAATCTTTTTATCTTTACATCGATACAACTTTAGTTAAAAGTAAAGATGAAATTGGCGAACTTTTTATTTTTTTCTAACATCAAAATCTCTGTATAAAATATATTGTTATCTCTGTTTTGTCAAAGATAATGACATGGTTGAGGATAATCTTATATATAAAATTCTCGTGTCGTGTCACAATTTTCGTTCCCATACTCCTCCAAAACAGTTTGACCAATTCTCATGAAATTTTATGAGCATATTGAGTAGGTCTGAGAATCGACTACTATCTATTTTTAATCCCGCGCGGACGTAGTCGTGGGCGACAGCTAGTCTTATATATAAATTCTAGTGTCACAATTTTCGTTCCCATACTCCTCCGAAACGGATGGACCGATTCTCATGAAAGTTTGTGAGCATATTGAGTCAATCTGAGAATCGGTCAACATCTATTTTCCATCCCCTAAATGTTAAGGGTAGTCCATCCCCCTAGATTTTTTTTATTTATTTTTAGTCAAACACGCGGACGTAGTCGCGGGCGACAGCTAGTTATACATAGATTTTGATTTCTGAAAGCCGTTAGACATCAAAGATAAATTCAAAGGATTATATAGTTACAGACATGTGTATAAAGCTTTGTGAAAATTCCTATGTTAATGATGGTATTTCCAATTACAATACGTAAGCAAGTTGAATTCCATTCAAATACTCATTGTAACTATCACATCAACTATTCCTTCACATATACGAGTCATTACGCAATCCTTTGAATAGCTTTTTATATGGCGCTATAAGAATTCTATACGAATCTAATGTTTACACGACAGTCATGTATTTACCAACATTTACCAACACATAAATATTTAATGAATAAAAGCCTATAAAAAGTTCGAAAACTTAGCTATGCGTCTTTACCTTTCAAGTTAATTTATACTAAAATCTAACATAAAACGTTTTAAACGTCTCGTATAATCGTAGTTCAGATGACCACTGGCATATTGAACGAACAGGCGAAGACGCGGGAGATAACAAGTCATAAAACCTCAAGCGCACGATTATCTAGAATGAACTTTCTCTAGTTATTATCTAACTTGCATAAATATAACAGACCTTAAGCTGCATACACATGTGACGTTGAAATACTAAGGCATATTATCTTAGTGTCGCGACACACCCGCGACGTGCGCCGAATATTCGGTCGAATACTCTTGCATTGTTTTGCACGTTACGTATCACTTTTTGCGTACCGCCGACTCTTGCTTCGGACGAATAAGTATTTCAGCCAAAACACTTATTAATGTATTTTACTTAGCAATGGACATTGTATCAACAGCTGCGTTCTTAATGATAAGATATTTTGACGACGATGTCGTTAGCCTTACTTCGTACAGAAACAACTTCAATTTATATTAAAAGCTTAATGACAAGACTTGGTATGCCTAAACGTAAGCTTATAAGGTTGAAATTGGTATCATCCCAAGGTGTATTAATTCTTGTGTCGAAAATTTCTAGGTGCCTAATGTGTCATACCTTTAGCTTTAAGGTACTAACGCAGGTAAGTCGTATATTCTCTTTGCAATAATTACAAATGATGGACCATTTGAATAACACCGTGGGCCATAACTCCGGCGGTCATAAAATGGGGCCATGAAAACAAAGGGAAGCGATAAAATCCCGGAACAGGTCTTAAATCCGCTTAAAAATGGTCTTGATATACGACTTTTTAAAGAGTTCCTGGATGAATAAAACTAGTTTCTTTAAATAATTTTTAAATTTCTTGCAGAAAGAACTAATCACGTCTGCAAAGAATTATTTACTTTGAATAAAAGTTAATATATAGTTTAAAAACCGGTAAATCTATTAAAATATATCCAAATTTAATCCTTTAATTAATCTAAATCGATCGTATGGCTTAACATAGTTCGATATATCACAATAGAATCATAAAACAGAAAATTAGTAATAATTTGTATTAGATTGGCACCGGAAATATTATCTTACGACACAAACTTGCATGTTTTAAACACGTGGGCTTTATCTTAATTCCAATGATTCAATTCCACAAAATTCAATTAGCAATCACATAAAAATATCTTGGAACTGATGACGGAAACAGACGCATGTAAATAACTAAACTATGACTCATAGGTCATAATATAAGAACTATGGGATATGTCTAGCTTGATAAAATTTCTCAGAATTGGATAACGTCACGCTAACAAATGTTTCTACCCAGGGGGTAGACTTTAGACTTTCGTGTGTGGTCTAAGTTAAATATTCTACAAATAAACTTTTAAATATTTACTTGTTTCCTTCATCACTAACTAAAATTCACACATACTAAATATAGTATATTGAAGTCATCCACTTCTGTTTACATGTCCCTTTTTGCAACTACCTAATATTTAAATAAATTATTTTAAACATCGAATGACAGTTAGCGACGAAATATTTTTACATCTTTCTTAGAAGAATTTATTACGTGGAAAAACCTATAAAGCAATTTAATGAGACCCTAAAATACATACGAAGAATTTACGAGGCACAAATCTAAGGTAATCAGGACGATAGAAATAGTACGCCCGAAATACCGAGGCCGAGTAGACGCCGCACCCGCCGCGCCCGCCGCGCCGTACAAACTATCACAAGGTTGTCCGTAGAGAAATGGTAACGAACACAATGAGAGCTGCCTTTAAAATACTAGACAATTCAAGCTCGTAGACACATTACCTTCACTGGTCAGAAATCAATCCGACATTAGATATAAGGATGAAGTAGGAGTAAAAATAAGAAGATAGCAGTTGCGATACTGAACCAGGACAACATAGAAGACATGAAAAAAGTTGTATTTTCTTGTTATCTACCATCGTTGCAACTAGCAACAAAGTTGTTTACCAAAAATCACCACCTCAGCTGTATCATACAGTATATAAAGGAAAAAACGTCAAAAGAAAATTACGAAGACAAGACTTATGCAAAATTGATAGAACATGATCATTGCTGTCAATGAATTTATTTCTCTTTATGAAAAGTAAAAATTGTCGCCTACCTATCGCTAAAGACATTACACTCACGCGCATGTCTGAGGGTGGTCAATAATTATATTTACATAACACGATTATCTACACAATGTCATTAACTGAGAAACGACCACACGCAATTGAGTCCTTGAGAATTTCGCACTTGGAAAAATATCACGCCTTTAAAAGAATTATTAACAAAGATTTACGACGAAAGAATAGAGACATTCGGTACTTTTTTAAGTAAGAAAATATGATCTTTGTATAAAAAAAATTGAATATTTATATGTTCCGACACATTACTAAACAACTGGATTTCTTTAACTTGTGGTTGTTCTAAGTACGCCACAAAAGATTTGTACCCTAAAATCTTAATTGGATCAAAATTTTGATTAATTAGACTTATTTCATCAAAGATGAAGATTTTATGATTTAAATTACATCATCATCATCATCAGCTCACTATACGTCCCCACCGAGAGGCTCGGAGCCTACTCTAAGTTAAGGGTGATTAAGCCATAGTCAACCACACTGGCCAAGTGCGGGTTGGTTGACTTCACACATATCTTTGAATCTCTTCTCTTAAATTACATACTTTGGTATAAAAGTGTCGTAACATTAACGAGTTTCCAAAAAGCAGCAGACAACTGTCACAACTCATTATAAACCCGTAGAATGAATCGTCCACTTCCCGACTCACACAAAAACTGACCATTTGATGACTTTTTAATTTATTTGGTCCGTTCCCCGGCCAATGTAATGTCGGAAGCTGAATGAGAAAGCGTATAACTGTCCTAGAGATGGGAACGAAGGAGAAAGGAACCGGTTTTATAAAAGGTCCTCAAATAAAAAGTAAAAGTGTGAACAACCTGTAAAAAGTGGATGGAGCGACGTGATCGTCGTTGAATCGACATAAAACATCGTTCCCAGATTTATCTACGTCTGAATGTAATTATTTAACACGTTCAATGCCGCTTACATTTTTTACTGAGTTTCGGTGGCACTGAACGTGTTAAAGCTACAGAACAAAGTTTAACAGATACATAAATATACTGTTTAGTTAGAAGACTAACTTGCGTAGAACTCTTTTAAGTATCTAACGTACTCAGAGTTTAATGCTCACTTTGGGGGGCACTTTGAAATCAAACAGATATTCTAAAAGTCGGTGTATTTCGTGTTATCAAAATTCTTACTCATCGAAGGTGACTTACGAAGCGCCTCTGTCGGAGAGGTCATCCACCAAAACGCTATCTATAAAACTGCCGCGGTATCAGAGGTCGGGCCGCGGAAGCGAGGTCAGCCTTATCTCTGACGTCACATCCGGGATATATCTTGGAAGGGTTATTGAGTATACAATTCTTTTAATCGACCATTCATACACAAGTATTAGTAATGTCTATTTGTTGGTTTATAATAAAAAAGTTTTAATTATTACTTTTATTAGAAAATTCAAAACCATTTATGTTCGTAGCAAAATGTTGGACATATACCCAAAGACTACTTACACGTTATGTTTCTTGTAGAAAAAACCGCTTTAACCTGCAACAAAAAATGAGGATTACAATTGACAACCAACATTATACCACACAGAGGGGTTAGACAAAAGCATTCGCTACGAAGCGATTCCATAACTGACTTCAAAAATCTATAGAACTGACAACAACTTTTTTTTACATCGAAGTGACCTTCTCCCATAGACATACGTAATTGCATATGCGCTGCCTACCTTTAATCGACGGAGAAGAGGATGCCCGGAAAGAAAATATCTTCCCTTTCCATACATCCTCTAATCCGGAAAGTTCACTTCCATCCGGAAGGGAAAGTGGACTAAATTAGGCCTCCGGGACGCACAATCATCAGAAGATACGCGGAATTGCTTCAGTGATTGTCGCGCCTCAATTCCATATAATTTTGAAGTTCGCTATAGAATCCCTTCGAAGCGAATGCACTTTGTTTAGCTCCAAAGATCTAAAATAAAAATAAAGTTCTACGATGTTACATTACCTATAAATGAAATAAAAATCACTATTTGCTTTTATTATAGTATATTAAAGGGCATAAGGCCTGTTTTAATTCTGTACTAATCGACTACGCATACATTGTAGGTATTACAATAACGACTAGTTACATAATGTTTGAATGTCAGCTTGTCGCTTGCATAACAGTTATTTTGAGATGTCCGACCTGTTGTATGATAGTAGTGACACACCGTACTGATGCAATTTAATTAACATCACCGATAAAGAACTGGAGCAAAACAAACTTATTGTCTACTACATATGACCTTAAAGAGAAGGTTTGACAAACCCTAGTTGTTAAACTAGCTGTCGCTCGCGACTCCGTCCCCGCCGAATTTAAAAAAAACTTAAATAAGTAGCCTATGTGTTATTCTATACTATGTTCTATATGTATGCTTAATTTTATCAAAATCCGTTGAGCCGTTCCGGAGATACCTTCAGTGAAACATTCATCCATCCATCTAAACATTCGCATATATAACATTAGTGAGATGAGTGTGTAAAAGTAAAACATAAAATAGACTTAATTTTTTTTTTATAACAGAAGGGGGCAAACGAGCAGCGGGAACACCGAGGTGTTCAACGACGCCCATGGACATCAGCAATACCAGAGGAACCGCAGATGCGTTGCAGGCCTTTGAGGTGGTAATAGGCTCGCTTCTTGAAGGACCCTAAGTCGTAGCGGTTAAATAGCGTATATAGTCAATCTAACAATCTTGGCAATTTCAATGCACTTACATAACTAAAACAACTCGAAAAGCAGATAGATTTAGGTTATTGCAAAACTCATTGCTTCATTCCAACCACCCTAAGAAGATCCTTATTTGATAAATCTCTTAATATTCTCAATGAAAAATATTAATTTGGTTAACTTTAAATTACGTTTTCAAGATCAGTCCAAATATTGTGTCCTTGTACACGTGTATTTGACTATATAATTAATTACTAAATTAACAATTAAAGTTAATCGGCAATTAAAACGTAAATTAAGGGTTTCTAATGTGATACTTAATGATAACTTATAGCTATGTTACACTAAATTTATTCTATAAATGGTTCAAGAAACTTAGTTGTATTGATAAGAGAATCATTAAGTGTTTATGGTATCCTTACACGTGTCGTAGTGTCAAAGTTATTAAGCCAGCAACACACCTTCAGTATTAACTGAACAGTCGGACTGTTTAGTTAAAACTTACGTGTATAGCGAAAACTGAGAAATGTACAGTTTATCTGTAACTGTTGTCTGTAATGTTGTGTACACATGTAAGTTTCACCTGTCTCACTGTTCAGTAAAAACCGAACGTGTGAAGCCAGCTTTATCATTTTTTAATTCATTGGGTAAATGATCGACAGAAAAAATCAATGGCAAACGGTTGTAGTTTGCATATAATTTGACGTCAAATATAATAATTTAAACCCAACCTTTGTGCCATTCAAAAACTTATGCTAAATATTTTTAAGACATACTTTTTAATCAAAAATAACCGAAACACTATATAATTTAAAAAGTAAACGTAGTAGGAGTTTGGAAAAGTAATTTCACTTCACCAACTTAAGAGATTTTACGCTTACTGGACTATCTTTAGTCCTACTTAGATTGAGCTTTCTCATTATCAAACAAAATGAATTATTATTTACTTACATTTTTATTATTAACATACATTAACTTGTTTAACAGTTGGTTTCTGAGACTAAAATCTCTATACCTCATTATCTTTGATAAGACGGAGATAACAATATATTTTAAACAGAGATTTCGGTACCAGAAACCCACGGTAAATAGAACATATTAAGATATTTGAATGAATATGTTGGTCTTGTGCTATACGCCTACAATGGTCAGTATCAACCCTCCTACATAAACAACATGTAGACCAAATCGGGGAAATACAACCATTAAAATATCCGCTATGCGGTCGTTTTTACAATTCTCCGAAACGATACGAATGCTTCATTGAGTGAGTTTTGACTCGCATAGTATTTATAAATCTATACGTTACTATGACTCACGTGTAGGGTTACCATCATACCTCTATGTTATCAGGACATAATTTAAATATCAGCACAATGTACTTTTACTTTTATTACGTATAACCAGGGAACGAAAGGTTTTGTTAAAGACAACTTAGCTAACTTTCTTAGAGTTTGCTTATTAGCTGCAAGACACGCTGCATTATATGACACTATATTTGTCTCTTTCTAACATTTACTACACTAATAAATCAAAACATTCTTGTCGACAACTCCATTTTGCCCAACCATACCCTATTCTATATTTTGTTTAAAACATTTCTTAAGAACAAGATAAAACCGGATTTAGATTTAAAACTACAAAATATAAAATATTTATCTGAAAGTAGGAAATATCCTAGAAAAACGTAACGCATGTCAACTCTTCTTCCGGACAAACGTGCAAGTTGCGTGGAGATGTAATCGGGCGGTCAGATATCGTGATATGCGGTGATAATGGAAACGAGCTATCGCACGCATCTGGACCAAATCGGTGTTATGGAAACTAATTTCATCTTATATAACACGTGCGGACGAAAGTTTACGTGTTAAGATGCTCAGATAACTATGACAAAATGATTTGGTTATTGTTTTCTTTCTATTTCTGAAGAATTTCTCCACGAAATTTACACGTTACAAGTTAAACTATTAACAAAGTACGTAACAGTTTCGCTAAAGTTCAATCCGCAGAGCAATCGGTCAGTTATCAGACAGGCCACGCCTTTTCGACCTTTGACCCCTGAGTCAAACTGCAATGCGCCTACAGTCGACCGCTACCGGTAGCGTTCCCAGAATGGTCACTTCCTCCCCGACGTATCGGATAAGAAACAATTGTACTTGGCAATTTATTAAATACAAAAATAACTAATGATGTCTTTGACATCAACTTTACAGCCGCAGTTACAGCTTAAATAACCATCATATACTAATAAGTTTATTGGGAGCTTTTTGCACAAAATACATGTTATTTTGACAGTGAATGATGAAGAATGGATGGAATTTAAAGCTAATTAATTCTATTTTCACATTCTTTACCTACCTATAAAACGTAAAGTTTCAAAATAAGCATTTTTAGATATTATTTAGAATTCTTTGGCGCGAATAGCGCGCTTTCATTACAAAGTCCAGTGTCAGAATGATTAGTGAGGGGACATAAACATCGACATTTTAGCAAGGCTAGTGTTGCGCCAGTACACCGGCACAGTGTCGAATTTTCTTCCTAACAGTATCAACAATAAATATATTTCAAACATGTTATAAAATAAATAATTCAATAGACATATAAATTGTATTTTCAAAGACTCAAAATGTAATTAGCATACAATAAGCGCCTGACATACGAAGACGCACACTATAAATTTTCCAATTAATCCTTTCACAACATACGGAATACATTACAAAACGTATCAAAAGCCCTTACCTTGAACCATAATTACCACTAAATAGGTCAAGGGTTATTGAAAACAGACATCCAATAAACTTCGATGAACACAAAACAAGCCTTTATGACCTACGACATAAATGTCGTTTTCATATCCATGGTGTACGTGTACACATATACAAGGTTAATAATGTGGGAACCGGGAGCATGGTGTTATAAAAGAACTAGGAATTTTTATTTTGTATTCATTATCCAGTTTTAAAAGTTTTCAAATTTTATTAATCGAGCTGCGATCAACACAAACAGAATGTTAGTTTAATAAAATTTGTTCAGATTTCTTAGTATATTATGCAAAATTATGTAATTTTAGAGTTCCGTACCTCGAAACGGATCCTTTATTAGATCAATGTGTTGTCCGTCCGTCTGTCAATACCCTTTTTTATCTTATAGATATATAACATGGTTTTCTAACCATATACTATTACAATGGTGGTATTGTCTGCATCAATCATTTCGACGGCTCAAGAACATCTGCGCACCGCACCGTGCACCTTCCCTCTCAGCCCTATGCGCCCTGAAACATCTAAAATTGTGTTCTATCGCCGCTAAAACTTTGGATTCCTACTATACAACTGCGACCTTACCTCGGTTAGGTGTCAAGGAGTGACTCAAATGTCGCCCACGTCCGCACCGAACGCGCTCAAACAATGCACATTGCATCCAATATGCAGACGCATTATCATGTACTTATTTTATTCTATTTTTATAGCACTCAACCAGTAAAAGGATGTAATAAACATCTGTTTTAATGTACTTTGTATTTGATATTCGTATAAAAATGATAACTTTGCTTTTAATATTTATGCAATTCTTTTGGTTTAGATGGTAACGACCATCACTAATAATCAAGATAATTAATCATACATATGAACACTTTGAAATCGTAACAAAATACATACATTGATAACGATATAAGTTGAAAGATATGTATGAAGTCAACCAACCCGCACTGGGCCAGCGTGGTTGACTATGGCCTAATCACCCCTAACTTAGAGTAGGCTCCAAGCCCCTCGGTGGGGACGTATAGTGAGCTGATGAACGAAAAATTCAATGACCAACTGGGGATAGTGTTGGACATTGAATTTTTTAGAATTTGATAAATCTTAACATTTTTCTAAATATTTCTTTAGTACAAGAAAAGAATAGCATTTAAAATGACTATTATTTACAAAAGAGTGAAATTTATTTAGTCTTCTAGTAAACTAAAATGCGTTATGTTTGATTTCCGAGTCTATCTTTGAATTGTTAGAGATATAAGGTTTTTTTATATCACAACTAGATTTGTGCCGAGGCCGATTCCGGCAGCGCTCGAGCAGCGACCTCTGCCGGTATATAAACAAACAAATCTTCCTACATTTCAATCATTTTCACGTGATGCAATGATATTTCCTGTTCTTTTATTCGACGAACATGAAAAAGAGGTTTAAAATACAATTCGTATAAGAAAAACGTGAATTTTTCTATTTCTATGCCGGTAATATTCTACGGATAATCATCATACACAATCTGTATGTTTGTTTGTTTTGATTGTAATTTTACAATCGTGGGATGTAATGTCAGGAAATTGAATGAAAAGATTAATAAAACAAAAATAATTTTGTGTTAGAAACATATTTACAAATGAAATCAAATCATGTCAGACAAAAAACACAAACTTATGCTAAAGATAAATACGGTAAATTTTCACACCATTTGTAAATTCCTGTAAACTTGAATGATTGCATGTTTTCCATTTGAATGACATAACTTAAGTTATTTTAATGATTTCAGCAAATAAAGGCAAGATCCGAGATATTGTAATAAAAAGCCGGTCACAAAAAGGAACAGAACCAAACAAACCGAAGGCAATAATGGCCAGGTACCAGGCGGGCATAAATTCCGTAGCAGTCGTCACACCTACGTACACCACAATTATTGTCACAACGTCAGGATAAAAACAACTTATAATATACATAGAAAAAAGGTTTTATTCATAACGAAAACGCTATCTTAACTGCTAGCTTTCACGTGTTTCTTAACCAAAAACAAGAGTCTACTGCGACTTCTTACATTACGATGGCCTTTCATACCGTAAGAAGTGATAGCCACTTAAGTTTCTCAAGATAAACACAAATCTTCAGCAATATAGTGCACATATTAATAGACTAAATAGGCCTTAGAGCTTTTTCAAATAGTATTCAAAATACATCTGCACATTATGATTATTAGATAAAACAGACAGACAGTGGCGTAACGTTCCACTTTCGTATTAATTGCATAAAAACATAGTGCCGTCTTTTTCATTCGCTCAGAACAAGCTAAGACAACAATACAATAGACAACTACAGGTCTCTCAGCAGTGAAGTCTCATAGTTAGATGTACTAGGGAATAAGAAAATAGTTATGGCCACCCTATTAGCCACACTCACACCTACCTGAGAGCGCGGTCGCGAAAAAAACGCGGTGCGTCGACCGACTGCTGCCCTTGAAAGAGACACGTGTCCGAGCACACAGACACGAGCCGACACCCTACACTAATTCACATTAAGAAATACTTAATGTTACTATGAGAAATTATAATTATTAACTATTGAAATACCACTTTAGTATTTACATTCAACTTTTTATTTGAATATAAAAATTACTACAAATGTACGTTATATATACATTGGTAGACAAATTGTCCTTTAGGTTATTGTCTTTTTTTGATTGATTAATAAAATTTTCTATCTAATCGTTTGACAATGCCCTAACGTCCGAAGTAATGTACATAAGTTAAAATTGTCAAAGTACATCCGATAATCCTCGCCAGCAAAACACAAAATATAATTTTATAATTGAAGTGTCTGTCTGCTATCTTCGAGTGTTTCAACTTAATTACTCGGTTGCTTAATTAACGCGACGCTTAAAACGAACTTGTACTTTGGTAACTTCGCCTGTCGTTGTGTCTGAGTGTTTTAAAGATCAACTTCTGTTTGATAATTGTGTTCACTTATGACTACCTGAAGCACTTTAGGCAAACGGAATTGGATTGTTCAATTAAAGTCTAATATAATGAGTCCTTACAATAATTAAAAAAAAAAGTTTGTAAAGACCAAAGAGCAATCCGCCTTAGTCTCTTTCACTTTATGTAGTTATAGCTGTCGCCTACGATTGCGTCCGAGCGGACTATAAAAAAAACTTAATTAGTAGCCTATATGTTCTTCCAGACTATGTTCTACATCTATGCCAAATCAGCGAGATTCATACAACCGTTCTGGACATTCCTTCCAATTAACACCCATCCAAACATCCGCATTTATAATATTAGTAAGATTATACGCATTCGTACACTTGTAGGTAAAAATAATGGCCACTATTACGCAACAATTAAACAAAAAAATATCCTACCTAATATTATACTTTAGTAGCCTAGTATTAGTAGATCAACTAAAACTAGAATCTAGACACTCCTGTGTATTGAATATTAACGTTCATTGACCGATGTTAATTTATTTCTAAAATATCTGCGTATAATGATGTTATACGCAATTACATTTAAAACTTAAGCACGCACAACCTCTACACATCCGCCCTTGAACTTGGTCAGCGAGTTTCGCAATGAATTGCGCCGTTCTTAACGTACTCTTGCGCACAATGTCTTTGAACGTATAGAAATTAATCAACATTCTTTACATCACATACAAGCTAACGATCTTTTTATTTTTTAACTAGCTGTCGCCTGGGACTCTGTCCGCGAGTTGTAAAAAAAACTTGGATGCCAAATTTCATCGAAATCCGTTCAGCCGTTCTGTCGATACCTTCAAACATCTATCCATCCATCCATACGTTCGCATTTATAATATTAGTAAGATAGGTATATCGGTTTACACGCAGAGACATGTAAAACACGTGACATTTATCTCAATCTATACATCAAAATCAATGTTTTTAGATAAACTTCAGTAATGTTCATGTCATACAAAAATATCACGGCACGCGTCACGTCGCGCTGCGCTTAATTAATCCTATAAAATAGTTAAACTAGTACAACTCCCAAATTAAGTGTACAGTGAGGCTTAATATGTAAAGTGTCACCTGTGTTGTTGTGGAAGACGCTGTAAATATCAAGTTAATTAATTAATTACATTATTGAACGCGAGAGTTGAGTGCGGCAAGTTCTGGTTCTGGTTTAATCAAAATATGCAAGAAAACTGAACTAAACTTTATTCTGTCGAGATTGTCGCTTGCAGATGTGGCTTAAATACAGTGCTGGTCGTATTTTGTGTTAAATACTTGGTGCTTGAAAGTGAATTGGTCAAAAACAATTAGTGGTGGACATTGTTATGTTATTTTGTCACTTACCCACGTCGATTTGCAAATTTGAGGAAGTCCTACCATACGATTTGACATTTCGACATTTCGTCTAATGCAATCGTGGCGCAACGGCCTTGCCTACGCTCACGGAGTACATTCTTACTACAGTCCGCAGCGAGTCCAGTGGTTCGAGCCCGGGAAAGAAGTTCCGACTTTTTGTTCTTTTTTTTTTTTTTTTTTACATTTTGTAATATACAAAATTATATTATTTTAATGATCAGTAATTGTTGTTCGGTTTTTTTTTACTACATTTAAAGATATCTGGAATTATATATATATATAAGTAATAAGTACATTTTGTTCTGTCAAGTCTCTTACTTTTTTTTTTTTTTTTTGTAAAACTTAATTAAAAGAAAGATTCGTCGTTTTTTTTGTGTTACGAAAATTCTCTTTGTTTTGATTTTTTTTTATTTTTTCTCGTGTAAAACTACTTGTGTGTGTGTGTGTGTTTTTTTTTTTGTACAAATTATTTGTCGTTGGACTTCCTAATCACTTTTTTTTTTAAGATTGTATACCTACTTTTAGACCCAAACACCGTATATTCCAGGTGCATATATATATAATTAATTGAAATAATTGATTGTTTGTAACGCCAAAATGGCTTCTCCGACTATATGCAATGTTTGTAAATTATCATTACCAACGAAAGAGTTCATGGTCTGCTGCAAATGTAAATCTAAATTCGATCTTATGTGCGCTAACGTGACCCTAAAACGTTTCACTTCAATGGAATCTCGATTGAAATTATCTTGGAAGTGTCCTGAATGCTGCGGTCAGGTTCCGAAGTCAGGCAATACTTCCTCGCGGTCTCAATCTGAAGACATACCAACTGACCACTCAACTAAAACTTTACGCAATAAGCCAATCAGAGAGTCACCTACAGCACATGAGGAATGTAATTAAGTTACGGAAGACAAACTTCGAACAATAATGCAACAGGAACTAGCCAATCTATTTAAAAATAATATAAAAGACTTAATATGCGCAGAATTAAAAATAATAAATGATAAAATAGATAGTTTTCAAGAGGCAATAAGTTTCATTAACACTCAGTACGAAGAGATCAAAAACATTCTTCAAGAAAAATCAACAATGATATCAACTCTTAGGACGGAGAACGACAAACTAAAAAAGGATGTTAAAGACCTTGGTAATCGGCTCAATATAATGGAATTGCACATGAGAGACAGCAATATCGAGATTAATGGCATACCGGAAAACAGATCAGAGAACCTGGCAAATACACTTAACCAACTGGCAAAGATTGTGAATTACCCGTTAGCCACCGAGGACATTCAACTTATTACCAGGGTTGCTAAAATCTCTCGGGATAACAACAGACCTCGAGCTGTAATAGCCAAATTACGTAATCCCCGACAACGAGACGCTTTCTTAGCCGCTGTAATGAAATACAATAAAGCCAATGCGGATAAAAAATTAGGAACTCAGCATCTAGGAATAGGTGGCGCCCATTCTCCCGTTTATGTCACCGAACATCTTACTCCTGAAAATAAATCTCTTCATGCAGCGACTAGAAAAAAGGCAAAAGAACTATCTTACAAATTCGTATGGGTTAGAAATGGACGCATCTATGTTCGCAAAGATGAAAACTGCCAGCAGCTTTTTATAAAGAGTATTGACACCCTAAGCCTCCTAAATTAAGTTTAAATCCTATCGAATGTTGTGGCACCTATAAATATCACAGTGTTAGAAATATACTATCAGAACGTACAAGGCTTAAGAACTAAGACTAATGAAATATTAAAAAATGTCTATACAACTAACTACAATGTGATTGCCCTTACGGAGACATGGTTGAAACAAAGTATCGCTGATAAGGAAGTAATGGATGATAGATACGTAGTTTACCGGAGAGACAGAGTCTGTGGGAGCTTGGATAAGCAGGATGGTGGAGGAGTATTACTGGCTGTCACACGTGATATACCATCTGCACGGGTTGAAAGTTGGGAGATCGATATAGAAAATGTTTGGGTTGTGATACATACTAACAAAAATGGAAGACTCCACAAAATAGCAATCTGCGTGGTCTACTTGCCGCCGCCAATAAGATATGATACACTTACTAAATTCTTGGATAGTATTGACATAGTGATAAATCAAACCGATGAAGTAATAATACTAGGAGATTTTAATTTAAATTTCATAAACTGGAGCGCAGTCGAAGGTAATACTTACATGAAAGCATCGGATCATAATTCATCTCTCGGTCTCGCTCTCACTGACTTTCTAGCTTTAAATAACATGTATCAGCACAACTGCATTCCCAACGATGATAATAGATTTCTTGATCTTATTTTGAGCAATATCCCGAAGGCACATGTTTCTAAACCACTACAATCGTTATCTAAGTGTTACCGATACCATCCCAGTCTTCTACTTACTATCCCAGATGCACATACTAGATTATTACGCGAAAAACCACATACAAAATATAACTATTATAAAGCCGATTACGTTTGTTTAAACAGCGAATTAAGTACAATTGACTGGAATTACAAGTTCTCCCGCTGTTCAAATGTAGATGATATGGTGGCTGTTTTCTATGATATACTTCAGACTTCTATCGACAAATATGTTCCTAAACGAAGCATCACCAAATCTAAATATCCTTCTTGGTTCAATAGTTCGTTAATTAATTGTATAAAAGAAAAAGAAAAATTACGCAAACGATATAAAAGATTAAAAAATCCGCGTGATGAATTCGAGTACCACCTCCTCCGAAAACGTGCGCACAAACTCTATGATGATTGTAAAAAATACTACATGCGAATAATAGAAAAGAACATCTCTAAGAACCCAAAACTACTATGGGGATACATAAAGAACAAACAAGGCAGACGTTCCCACATGCCTGAGAAAATGTATAAAGATAATATCACTGCGGAAAATGGTAAAGACATAGTCAATTTATTTGCGACACACTTTTCATCAGTGGATTCAAAAGAGTGTGTTGAATCTCAGTGTGACATAAGTTCGAATATCCCCATGTCAAATCAATTTGTCTCAAATGTCATAATTAGCGAAGCTGAAATCTTAAGAAAAATCAAAGGACTAGATATTTCTAAAGGCGCGGGTCCCGATATGATTCCCCCTTTATTTGTTAAAAGATGCGGTCGAATACTGGCTTTTCCTCTTAAAATCATATATAACCGATCTATTCAAGACGGAAGATTCCCAGTGATATGGAAAAAGGCTTGTATAATACCGGTGTTCAAAAAAGGTGATGATACAAACGTTACAAACTACCGGCCCATTTCTATACTGTCAACGTTTTCAAAACTATTTGAATCATTAGTATACCCAATACTGTGCAGGTTAATTGACGTGAATCTTTCCACTGACCAGCATGGTTTCAGATTAGGTCGTTCCACTCACACAAATCTTGTTCATTTTGTATCAGAGATATCGCATGATGTTGATAAAGGCATGCAAGTCGATGCAATTTATACGGACTTCAGCAGTGCTTTTGACAAAGTTAACCATTCCCTGCTGGTTGACAAGCTTGAAGCATTCGGTTTGGGTGGGGCCTTACTAGACTGGATAAAGTCGTATTTAAACAAAAGACAACAATATGTATATGTGAATGGGTATGAATCAGACGTGTTCTATGCTGACAGCGGCGTTCCTCAGGGTTCTCACCTTGGCCCCCTGCTCTTCTTGGTTTTCATAAATGACATTACCTACTGCATTAAAAACTGCAAGAAATCTATGTTCGCAGACGATTTAAAGTTATACAAGACTGTCAAATCCCCTGCTGATGCAAATCTTATACAAGAGGATTTAAATGCAATAGAAGAGTGGTGTTTTAAAAATTCTATGACTCTCAACGTAAAAAAGTGTTACCATATTAAATTTAGCAAGAAGAAGAAGCCGCTTGTCACAAAGTATGAGTTGGGCGGCGCGATTATATCCGAGTTAGAAGTAGTACAAGACCTTGGTGTTACAATAGACTCTAAATTAAAGTTTACGACGCACGTGAATAATATAGTTGCCAAGGCTGCTAAGACTTTAGGCTTTCTAAGACGGAACACCCAAGACTTCAAACTTATACAAACAAAACAGATGCTATATAATGCTTTCGTGCGTAGCCAACTCGAATATGCGAGTGTTGTTTGGAATCCGTTGTACGCGGTGCAGTCGCAACGAGTTGAGGGTATCCAACGAAGCTTCACACGCCATTTAGCATTCCATGCAAGAGGATTTTCACATCGTAGTCCATACACTCAAAGGTTAAAACACTTTAATATGATGTCACTTAAATCAAGAAGAGAGGTATTAGATACATGCTTTCTATATAAGCTTATAAATGGTTCACTTCATTGCCAACAGCTGCTTGAGAATGTTTTCTTTTCGGTGCCTAGACAAAACGCACGCGGCACTAACAAGCTCTTTCACGTCCCCAGGTGTAGGACAAATCTCGGCCAGCACTCGCCACTAAACAGGATATGTTCTGGATATAACAGATTACTTGAAAAACAAACTACAAATAATATAGATCTCTTTGGCACGAACTTTAACTCTTTCAAAAAAATTATTAAAACTTATTTCAGTATGCATAATCTATAGAATAATTACAAAGATAAAAAAAAATCTACTATTTTATAATAATTTCCGAAACCTTAAATAAATACCTCTGTAAATGTTATGTACACCAATATTTACATATGTATAAGATCTAATACTATTCATTTGATAAGTTGTATGTGTGTTATATATATGTTGTGGTTGTGCTTAAATAAATAAATAAATAAATAAATAAATAATGTTAAGTAACTTTAAGGACGCCCGTGAAGACGTTACTGCCTCACTCAGCCATTAATTAGTCACTAAGGGAGACCTTAATGTACACTTGTTACACTAAATCTACGCTTTAAAAGACTATTTAAAGAATTTGAATGTGGCAGTCAATAAAACAATTTTAAATCTTAGAAAAGTTCCAGTCGCATTTTTAGTATACAAATAAAAGATTACATTTTAGATGCTATTAGATTAGTGACATTTAGTGACACATTTTATATCTTGCGTACATTTTTGCATGACATCTTCAAAGGCCGAAAATGTGCGATAAGTCTTCAGATCTCACAACTAGAGTGATTAAAATTTCCGCCGAGCTGACGATCAAAGTAGATAAAATTCGTTGCGGTCAATTGCCTCATGAGAAACTTTTTAAATCGTCATCGATGATGTATCTACATCACTATCAAATATTGATTATCACAGAATTTACGCTTTTATAAAAACTTATAATACATTGTTTAAAATATTTTTACTTAGTTATAAATTGATTAAGAATTGGTCTTAAGATCGGAAATAATCTTACTAATATTATAAATGCGGATATGGATGTAAGAATGTTTGTAGAAGGTATCTCCAGACCGACTAAACAAATCTTGATGAAATTTTGCACATTTGTAGGACATAGGCTGGCAGAACACATAAGCTACAATTTTTTTTCTATTCCGCCCGGACGTAGTCGCCAGCGACAGCTAGTAAAAGATACTTTTAAAAATTCATTTAATTTAGTAATTAGTTTTACGGTAACACAGCCTAAAATTTTTTTTTATATCAAAAGGTGGCAAACGAGCGAGCGGCCACTTGAAATCGCTGAAATAGCGAAGTGACCGTTGCCCATAGAAATACGCAATTGCATATGCGTTGCCTACCTTTAATCGACGGAGGAGAGAATGCACAGAAAGAAAATATCTTCCCTTTCCATGCATCCTCTCATCCGAAAAGTCCACTTCCACTTCCCATCCTTTCCTTATAAAGAAATAGATGGGAAGGGAAAGAGGACTAAATTAGGCCTCGGGGACGCACACTCATCAGACGAAACGCGGAATTGCTTCCACTTCACGCCTGTCTTCTGTGTGGTCGTGGTATTTCACCGAGCGAGCCGGGCCAATTCGTGCGAAGATGTTAAAGCGGGCTCTACCACTGTTAATGATTTTTACACTTTAAAAAATTGGCAATGTACCAATACTTTATGAGTACTACATAAAAACGTTATATTTAGGCATATGTAAAAATACATTAGGCTCGTTAAACAAACCTGTAATTATCTGGCAACAGTCAATTTGACCAGACGGTTAGCTAAAACACCGTCAGGTCAGTGACTGACCACTAGCTTGGACAGCTTTCAAGAAATATTTTTAAACCAAATCATATGTCTATAGATATTATTAGATATTATGCGTTAACAGAGGTTATTAACTGTTGAAAAAAGTCACTATAAATACAAAAAAACTATTATTTTAACAATACTTCCAACATAATAACATAAAGCATAGATTTTCCTTTTACCAATTTTTAATATAATGAATTTTTTAAAAATTAATATTCGAAAAACGAATTCAAATATATTTTAAATAATTTCAAACCTAAGTCCTTTACCCTTCGCAAATGTCTAGACAATTTCCACTTCAACTTGTTCAAATTTAACGAGACGTTACAGTATGAATATTTTACATGTTACAATTCGAAGACAGAAGAAAATCTATTATTCCTTCTAAGAAACTCACAAAGGCATTAAATCATTTAATGGTCCTTTAACTGACCATTAGTGTACGATCTCTCCCTCAGTGACATTTAATTGAGGTAACGGTAAGACTAGATAGCGCCAGATTGAAGCGCCTATAGCCAAATGGTAAAGGGTACGCGAAT